ACCCCCCCACTCAGGTCCCAATTCCACCCACTCCCCTCTGGTCCCAGAGCTTTGCATCCCTGACCCCCACCCCTCCCCCATCTTGCTTTTCCTTGGAGCCTATCCCTGCCCAAGTTACAGCCCGCGTCCCCCAGAACATGTGCATTTGCAGTTTAAAGTAGCACATGTACTAGTGTCAGACAATGCAATTATTGTGAAAATATTTCTTTATTGTCCAGAGACACATCAATCTGACATAGGGATGGCACGTTGCATCATGCCAGCTTCACCCATTTACTCTTCTGAGTCATAGACTCAGCAACGCAGGTATATCGAGTACAACAGGTAATGAGTCCACTGGTTTCCAATTGGTTTGTCACAACATTCAGGTCCCACATCATTGTAACATCAAGTATGGAGCAGACTAACTTCCCATAACCCAAAAGTTCTAATGAGGTGACAATGGCCTCGAAATGTTGCCAATAGACTGTTCACAGTGTTCAAAAGAAGGATCACTGGACTTGAAATGTTTACTCTGCTTTCTTTCCAGAGGTGCTGCCAGGCCTAAGTTTCTCCAACAATTTCTAATTTTTTTCAGATTTCTAGCATCTGTAGTTCTTACTTTTACAGTAGACTGTTAACAATAATGTCCTAGATATTTTCTAAACAATGTGTTCAGAGATATTATGACATACCTCTGGAGTGGGTGGGACTTGAAACCTGGCCTCCTGGCTTGGAGTTAGAGATACTACCACTGTACCACAAGAACCTGTCAAATTTGGAGGAAATTTTAACCGTGTGAGTCTTTGTCTATGAAAAAGCGCTCAACCATCTAAAACATCAGACCGATCAATGCCTCTTTATACTCTTGAAATCCCCTGTGTAGTAGACTGTAATCAATTTAATATTGCATGTGGAAATTTGACAGCTTTTAAAATTATTATTGATTAAATAAAACTCCTTTAGCCCTCAACGTGATGTTGCTAAAGTCGGAGATTAAAAAACCCTCTCCTCAACCGTCTGTTACCAGGGAGATCTGCATCTTACAGCCATGAAGGAAATTTACGATATCTTTAATATTTCATTGGGTCCTGATGACACTAACTAGAGATATCAAAACCTAGGTGCTTGGTATCATGATGCCCCATCACCCTGAAAAATGAAGACACAATCTAAATGTTAAAATGTGTTTCTTTATTATTGGGCTTACCTACTGCTCTGTGAGTTTCAAATGCATGTTAGTTTTCACATGGCCACAGGACAAAGGCAATTTCACAAAGCCACTGTAGCTGCTAAGTTTTGAAGATTACTTGTGATACCTCCTTTGTGGTTTATCTACAGATGGAATCAGCTTGATCTAGCTATTGTCCTGCTGTCCATTATGGGGATCACCCTTGAAGAGATCGAAGTGAATGCTTCCCTGCCAATCAACCCCACAATCATCAGAATCATGAGAGTTCTTCGCATTGCTAGAGGTCTGTAAAACTGGTATTAATTATTCACTGCAGTCTAAGTAAATCCTTTGGATGTAAAAATTCACATCCCTGGTGGTTTAGAATTGTGATTTTAGAGACGAGGTGAGGTGAGAGTCGATGCAAAGATGAGGAATTGACTTTTACAATCTGAGTTGTTGTGATTTAGAATGCGCTGCCTGAAACGTTGGCAGAGGCAGATTCAGTTTACAACTTTTGTAAAGGAATTGGATGAATACTTGAAGGAGAACAAATTGCAGGTCTTGGAGGGAAGAGGCATGGGAGTGTGGGTCTAATTGGATCCAGTTGGACTCAAAGAATCAGCCCAGGAGGAATGAGACAAATAGTCGCTGGTGCTGTAGGATTGCGGATTAGGGTCAGACAATACAGTGATGCCCCACCTGGTCTAATAGCCCAGTGGCACTCACTCCAAGGCTGATTACATCACCTGGATGCTGAATCAATCTTTTCAAACTTTGCCACAGAATGAACAGGCACAGTCGATGTTAATGTTGCAGATGATGGCCCAGCAATTCTGTACTAAACACCAGGGATAGTACATTAAGTTGGGACCTCCGTCTACTCCTTTGACACCAACCTCACCCTTCCAAATCGCAGGGTTGGTATCCATTAAATCTTGAAGACACCTACCTGTAGCAGGGTTATTGCTGTTGAGGATCCTTCCTCCAGGTCCCACAAGATTTGGGAGCACAGATTTGCGACTCCCAGTGACCCAAGAGTGGCCAGACAAAATTATTAGTCAATTATTGGTTATAATCATTGTCCATTTCCCAAACTTTAAAGTTGCCACAGTGCTAGAAGACAATAGGGCTACTCACCAGCAACTACCTGTCTCTGATGGGAGACAGTTTAACCTGAGGGTGAGGGGATGAGGTGGAGAAGGAAATTACTACTTCATGGTAACCTCAGCCACTATCGGAATTGAACCCACGCTGTTGGGTGTCACTCTGCATTCCAGCCTGTACAGTCAATTGGGACTGCAACCTGTCTCCAACAGTGACGATTGTTGGAGCGGGGTGGAGAGATGGTGATGGCAGGGGACTGGAGTGGTCAGGCAATGGAGCAGGCAATGGAGGGAGGGAAGTAAATCCAGAGGAAATGGGCAGGGAAGGTCTTGGGAGGTGTCTCTAATGGGTTATGGGCCTTGTACAGGCGGTATGTCACTCCTTCCCTGCTGCCAGCTCAAACAGGAAACTCTGCTGAACGTCCCACCTGGCACCAACATCTGCCTACTGTGGGAAATTTTGGGAAAATGTGTGCTCGCACACCAACCTGTCCTGGCTCAGCCCCTGTCCCTCCCTTGACTGAGCACCAACCCCCCCCCGCCTCTCAACACCCCCACCCCCTCTCACCACCCCCACCCCCAGCCCCACCCCCAGCCCCAGCCTGAGTTCACATCCGCAGTCCCAGGGACCTGCTCCTTACGGCGAATCACCTTCCCAGCTGCTTCTCCAATCAGAGACTGGCTCTTTCCCATGCTTACAACTGATTGGTTCATTAGTCAGCCTATCAGTAGAAAATGAGGTGAGAAATAACTTGTGATTGGAGCAGGAGCTCCTCATGTTCTGTCTCTCTCACCTATGGGTTTGACGTGGGTCTGTTTGGTCCTAGAGGAATGATATTGCCTGATCCTGGGCTCCAGTGACAAGCACTGTTTATACTCCCCTTTCCCAGACTCTGCCTTTGACAAATCCATGTTGGTTCTCTATCATTAATGTGTACTTTTCCAAATTATTGTTAATTTTGTCCCAGATTAGTGTTTCCAAAAGTTGTCCCACCACCAAGGTTAGAAACAAAAAACCTGCAGATACAGGAATCCAAGCCAGACAAACAGGAGACTGGAATACAACAGCAAGCCAGGGTCCCAAAGAAGGGTTATACCCGAAACATTGACTGCTCCTTTCCTCCAGATGCTGCCTGGCTTGCTGTGTTCTTCCAGCCTCCTGTTTGTCCACCACCAAGGTTAAACTGACTGGCCTACAGTTGCTAGGTTTACCCTTTCATCCATTTTTAAACATAAGTATAACATTTGCAATTCCCCAGTCCTCTGGAACTACCCTGTGTGTAAGGAGGATTAGAAGATGCCAGTTCCTCTGCAATTTCCACATTTATTTCCTCAGCATCCTTGGATGCAATCCATGTGATACTGTTGACTTAGCAACAATTAACACCTCCTCTTTATCAAACTTTAACCCATCTAGTATTTTGACACTCTCCTCTTTCACTATGACTTCAGCAGTGTCTCCTTCTATAAAAAGACAGATGCAAAGTATTCATTTAATATCTCAGCCTCCTTGTCCAGGTTCCCTTTTTGGTCTTCCCCCCTCCACTTCCTACCTTTTCATTATTGGTAAGCCTTTGAAAGACTTTTGTGTTCCATTCTACCTTGGCTGCCAGTGTCTCCTCGTACTCTCTCTCTGCCTCTCTTACTTCCTTTATCACGTCCCTTCTGAGCTTGCTATATTCATGTTACTTCTGTCTGTTCATTGAGAACAATGTTGAGTACTGAGTAAAGATAGAATTCCCTATAAGGCCAGTTCCAGACAGGCTTGAAGAAGTAACTATTTTGTCTTGAATTAAAGCAGGATGTCATTAACCCATCCAAGAGTCTTGGCATTTGCATCAAATGAGGCTTTTAACTGAACTATTTAAAGTGAAACATTATTAGAAGGTGCAATGTGTTGCATGGGAGGAAAGAGCAAATTGTCAGGAAATATCTGTGACATTATGTTTTTGTAGCATTCATAACTGTTACTTATATCCCCAACAAGTTCTCAAGCTCTTGAAGATGGCAGTGGGAATGAGAGCGTTGCTGAACACTGTAATCCAGGCTCTACCACAGGTAAGCACGATGCTGTTATTTCACAGCTTCGGACATGTCAGCAGGTGGTGTATTGTGTAGAATGTGTGGTTAGTGTGCTTTCAACATAACTCACCCAGTGTTATGACTCTGCTACAGATACATGTTCAATACTACAGCCCAACATTGACACAATCCTATGGCAGTGTTTATGTGGGGGCTGTTGTTGCAGCACTAACATCTCAAAGTGTCATCGCTTTGACATTTAACACTTGTACTGAACACTGAGACTCAATACTGGCACACACTGGCACTGAACACCCATTCAAT